CGCAACAAAACTATATTATATATTATATTATATATGATATAATATATAAACAGTATTGAAGTTTGGTTGAAGTCAAAGCTAATTCTTTTCTTGCTATATAAACAAATTTACTCGATGTGATTTTATAAATACTTGTATGTATGTATATTTACAGATAAATTACATATATAGCAGATAAAAATGTTTTTATTATGCATTCTTGCATTTGAAGACAACATTTAAAGACAATAAAATAAAGTTAATGAAGCAAGAACTTTATACTGTATTTAATGAGAAAAATTTTTATTTGAATATTGTAAAATATCAAAAAAAAAGAATAAGGAAAGAATAATTTTGAACTTAAAATTATGGTAATTTAATGTTAATTGTTTCAGTTTCATTCAAAATTGCTTTTTTTTTCGTCATTGAATGAAAGATATTTTTGTATGAAGATTATATTCTCGTATATAATATATACGAGTGAGTATAATTTTATAATAACTTTTTAATTTAAGCTTATGTCATAAATTTGCTATTAAGCATCGAAACTTAAAGGTGTGTTTTTAATGATTGAATTCTTTTTTTAGTAACAAATCTTTTTCACAGATAAAATAAACTTTTGGGTTTTATTTTGCCCATTTGACATTTTAAAAATATATGTTTGTGATGTGGACTTATAACAAAAATAATAATCACCAACTAACGCAGTTATTTGTTATACTAAAGTTATCAAGCATAAAAAGCAATAATTCAGTCTTTATTGAAAAAAACCAAACCAAATAAGAATTGTAAACCATTCATGTCTTTTTATTTACACACACATATATATATATATACATGTCACCTTCAACTTTATTTAAACCCTCTCTGAATGTAAAAGAATAATTTCTTTCACATAAAAAATATGATATAAATCATCGCACATTGCATATGCAGATTAAACTTAAAGATAACTTATTGATTAAGAATGGTGCGGAGAGTACTAATGTCTAATATTACCTAACATTTTATATTAAAATAATCAAATAGGAAAATCAATTACTTATTTTTTATAGAAAATATTATGTAAACTAATTGAGAATTGCAATCATCCATATTATCAACATAAAATATATTTTAAACTGTTTCATATAAAAATAATTAACTATGAATAGCAATTCTTGATTTTTTACAGAAAATATTATGCAAACTAAGTGAGAATTATTATCATTCGAATTGTAGAAACTTGAGACATATTCTTAGATTTTTTAATTCTAATGATTTGTAATTCTTATTTAGTTTGCTAAGTATTTCCTGTGACACCTTAAATTTGTTCAGTTTGATTCAAATTGTTTTTTTTCTCGTCATTTGAATGAAAGATAATTTTGTATGAAGATTATCTTCTCATATATATAATATATGCAAGTGAGTATAATTTTATAATAACTTTTTAATTTGAGCTTATGTCATAAATTTGCTATTAAGCATCAAAACCTAAAGGTGTGTGTTTTTAATGATTGAATTCTTTTTTTAGTAACAAATGTTTTCACAGCTAAAATCAACTTTTGGGTTTTATTTTGCTTGTTTGACATTTTTCACTTAAGGAATTACAAAGTTGAATCGAAATGACAGCATCCATCCATCCATGGTCGAGCAAGTTTTAAAAATAATCGAAGTTTTGCATTCTTTAAAAAATGGAATTCATTAAAGTATTAAATAAATATTTATTAAAAAATCAAGTTGAAAAAATTATCATAATTAAATATATACTAATATTAACATTTATACACTTGTGTGTATATAAATTTAATAAAGTAAATGGAAGCCAAACTGTGCGATAAATGAGAAAATCAGAAAATCAGAAAACGAGGTTAAGACAAAAAGTATTGAAATATTTATGTTACAGAAAAGATATTTTGTGAATCAAAACTGAAAGTTATATTAACGGCTTGAGTTGATTTAAACTCAAGCTCGTATCTATAAACAAACTATAATTATTCAAATTCTTTGAATATTATTAGAATATAAATAAATATATGTGTACATAAAGAATTTTTTTTAAACCTGAATTAATATAAAAGATTTTACAGTTTTTTTTGTTTATACATCGAAATGTAATATGATAAGATTTTAATAAGAATATATTATCTGGTTGTTGGATAACTTTAATATGTGAGAATAACTGTAGTAATACTAGTTGCTGTAACTAGTTGTGGTACTAGCTGTAGTAACGAGTTGCAGTAACATAGTAAAGAGCTGTATAGCTAGTTGAAGTAAATAATTATAGCACTAGTTGTTCCTAGTTGCTAACGAGTTGCAGTAACTAGCTGTATAGCTAGTTAGAGTAACTAGCTGTAGTACTAGTTCTAGCAAGTGGTTGTAGTACGAATTGCAGTAACTTATTGTGGTGCTAGCTATAGTATCTAGTTGTAGTACTAACTATAATAATTCGTTGTAATAATATTAGTAATGAAATATATTAGTATAATATATTAATACAGGAACCTCTGATGCTTGAGAACTTATGAACGCTACAAAACTATATTTAGTATTAATTGTAATCGATTAGATTATAGAAGACCTCTATGAAATTTGAATAATCTGATAAGTATTATTTGTATAAGTAAATAATTGCGCAGCAGAGCAAATAAAATGTAAGTCATTATTCCTTTGTGTTCTCAGCAGAAAAGATAAAACAGTGCTGTCAGCTTTAGCTTCAGCTTTAGCTGATATATTTAACATTAGCTGTCAAAGAAGCACGCTTAGATAAAATCGAACGTCAGCACGAGTTTTGATTGATTTTGTTACTATATTAATTAATACCTAATTCATATTTCATTTATGTTATAAATAAATAGCCTCAAAGGAGCCAGCGTCTACCTCACAAATCTAAGAACATAAGTTCAATTGTCACTGTGGATTCATCTTAATATTTTAAGCTAAAATATTCATTATCACAAGTGCCTGCTCTTTGGCATCTGCATATGCCACTGCTGGAGAGAGTCAATCTTTTTACAATAAATATTAATAATATATTCATAATAACAATTAATCATTTTAATCATTTAATCAATAACAAAAAAATTTACAGAGAATATGAAGTCACAATGAAAAAAATAAAATGCCTATAAAAATACCTGGGTATGACCTTAATAGATATAAATTTAAAAGTGAACTGTTCATTTGACTGGTGTTTATTTATGAGTGTATTTTGAGTTATAATTTAATGAAACAAAATCAGAGTGGTCCTATCTTCAGGATAGTAGGAGTACTGCTTTAATACATAGGTATGCTTTTTGATCATCAATTTTTCGTAACAGAAAAAATAATAAAAGTAAGGACTCTTGCATTATGTTAATTATCCATTGTAACATAACTTCAACCACGTTATCGTATTTACGTATTGTAATCCGTTTACGTTTATTATTACAGAACTCTCTTTTAAGTTGTTCTTATTTTTTAAAAGCGTTGATAAGGTGTTACAAGGAATTCCATATTTTTCGGCTATATCTTTTTTTTTTGTCATCTTTTACTACTTTAATAATTATATTAATTTTTTCCGGGGTTGTCAATTATTTCAAATTTCTTTTACTTATTTTTGTGATTGAAAGTCTACAGCTTCACTGATAATAAGCACAACTCTATCATCATATTAAGGATCATCACATAACAATAGAGCAGTTTCTAGCCATCTAAGAGTCGCCGAAAGTTAGAATTTAAAAATGTAGCCCAAGTTAGAAAAGTAACTGACAAAAGTATTTAAAAATATAAAGGCAAAACAAAAAATTCGAGTTGTGAAAACAAATTTAAAGGGAAGTGTTAAAAAGCTCTGATAATTTTTACTTCGAGTTAGGGGAATTCAACTTATAGAGAAAAAAATACAAGAAGAGTTGTTGAAAACTTGAAGTTCGTACTAGGAGTTCGTGTTTTGGAATAATTCGACTTAGGGAACTTCGAGTTAGGGGAGTTTCACTGCATAATTTTATTATTATTGCTTTTACTATTTTCTTTTATTGTTCTTTTTTATATATTATTTATTTTATCATTTATTTTGATATAATTAAAACACATCAAAATTATATAAATATAACATATAATAATATAAATATAACATATAATAATATAAATATAACATATAACAAAAACCATAAGAAAAGGAGACAAATTATGTAGAAAGAAACAAATTTTATAGTTAAATAAAAAATATTATACAAATTTAAAAACTAAAACAAAAGAATTTTTTTTTTTTTGCTTCCCTTTAAAAAAAAAAAAAAAAAAAAAAAAAAAAAAAAAAAAAAAATCCAAAAAAAAATCCAAAAAAAAAATAAAAAGAAGAATAAAATAGTGGTAAAAAGAAACAAATTTTTTTTTAAATAAAAATTTTATAAACAATTTTAAACTAAATTATTTTATAATTTATTTATGTAACTATTTTCTTTTATTATTTTTTTTATATATATCTATTTATCATTTTTTTTTATTTAATTAAAACACATTAAAATGATATAAATAACATACAATAAAAATGATAAAAAAAAAATAAGAATAAAATTTGTGCAAAAAGAAATAAATTTTTTTTAAATAAAAACTATTATAAAAAATTAAAAACTGTCGTTAAAAAACATGTGTAATTTACCCAATTATTTCTAATACTTTTCAGAGAAACAAAACAATAATAATAGTCTATGATAAAAAACATTTTACTTTCAATGCAAAACGTGAATGCGTGTTTGTGACTAAATTTTTTCTCAACATTTTATAGCTTTTATATATTGTTTAGTAAAATCTTCATAATTTTTAATTATAATAAACCGCCGAGCTTACACGTGACTGAACTCTCAATCGCGTTAGCAACTTAAACTATTACTAATTAATGAACTATAATAATCTTTTTTGTACGAGTATAAAAAGGCTTGCATGCCATCGACTTAATTCATATGTAAGTTCAAATTGATTAAAATAATAATAATTCATAATTATATGAATCTTATATTAGCTTAAAGGTAAGACTATTTAATTTAAAAAAAATATTTATTACTAACCTTTTTTAAAAGAGTTTTAAATGATAAATAATCCAAATGTTGTAAGTCCTTAAAGTGCTGTAAAATTCAAAAATAATCCAAAATAATCGAAAATTAATCGAAATGATTGATGCGAAAAAAAACTATAATGCGTATATAATTGTTTAATTTAAATTAAGTAATTAAAAATCAAAATAAATAATTATTAAATATTTTCTATATAAATATATATTTGTGTATATTATTATTGAATTGAAATTAGTTTAAGATTAACTCAATTAACACAATCACACACTGACCAAAGTTAATTTGAACTTTGTTTTTGACGTATTTTGACGTATTTTTCGATTTTCTCAAATTTTATTGAAAGCACTTAACCAAGTCACACGCACGGCGCACCGTAAGCGAAACACTCGAGACAACGTTGCTTATTCGTTGAACATAAACCGAAGACTGCTGAGACGGGTTTTGGGTTGGAAGAAAACGAGCCACGAAAAAGACGTCTAATAAAACGAGCTTAACATGTTTTGTTTTCGTGTGTCGCATTGCTTCTTCGTTCAACGGCTTAAGTTAACGTACAAATTTTAGGCAAGACTGTTGCGGGATGCAGGCGATAATATAAAATAACATTTTGTTTTTTTTGTTTTTTATTATTGAATTTTAAAGTTTTGTATGTAAACAAACTCATTTCACTTCTTCCCTCTACACTTGGCTAAACACGCTTCTTAACGGCGACAAAATTCCATATAACTGCAAAGACGATTCATCGTATTGGTTCCACTGATTTACACCAAGAATGTCTTGACATTTTGTTGTTGCTGGTGCCGCTGTTGTTGTTTTAGTTGTTGTTGTCATATTGTGATTCTCGCTGTGCATCATTTTACGGTTCAATTTCGACAAGCCTTAGAATCAATGATGCAATAAATTTTTTATTCAGCGTTGATTGCATTTTCTCAAGTAAAAAGATGCTTTGATATGCATGAAAATAGAGACTCGTTGTTGTTGTTGCTTTTGTTGTGGTTTCATTGATAAAATATTAGATATGCTAGAGTCAAAAAAAAAACCATATAATAAAACTAATAATATTAGTGGGAAAAATATTTTTATTTTTTGTCTAATTGTTAATTTAATAAATCAAGGTAAAAAACAAAAAAAAAAAATGTAACACTAAATAAAATTAAAAATAATAAATACTTATAGATGTGGATTAAGCAAATAAGTGAACGTCTAGTAAATCAGATATTCGAGAATATATTAAAATTGTTTAAAATCTGTGTCAATAGAAAAATATATATAATTACAAATATTAAGTACATATAGAGTACTTAATATAGTATTAAGTACTATACTTTCATACAAATACATAATTATACATACCTACACACACATACTTATTTATGTCCAAACTTTGATTAGTAAAAATGTAGTGAACTTATTGAGATGCTCAATAGAGGTGCTAGTTTCATGGTGAAGGTACTGAAGGGTTACTGACAGTTAGAAAACCATGTAAATTAGAAAATTAAATAAATAAAATTAAATATCAACAATTCTTGAAGTAAATTACTACATATCTGTTTTGTTGTTGTAAGTGTACCATACTAGGAATTTACACTCTAGAGACTAGAGAATCTTAGTCACTTAAAAGACTTGAAGAGCATTTTAACAATTTATTAAAGGTTGAAATGGCTTAAATTTTCTTAAAATTATAGAACACTATGAGTTATCAGAAATAAATGAGTCGGTAGTACCACCAGATGGTAACCATGTAAAATAGCATCAAGTATATTATACTTGACAGAAGTTGACTTAAATGTCAGAAACTATTTTCAAATAATTCAATTTATTATTTAATTAAATAATAAGCGAATTAAATTTTCGCTTGAGTTGTTTTAAACTTTTAGTACTGAAGAAAATAAATTTTAAAAAACAAAAGTTTGTAATTTCTACACTGCAATTTTATTTATTTTTATTTACTAGCAAACAATGGATGATATAAAACGTACACTTACAAGGCGAAGAACCAAGCAGTCCAGTTCCTTCTTCATAGTTAACATTAAATAAATTTTAATATTAACATACAAATAAATAAAACAATATTATAAGAAGTACACGCGGTCATTTTTATACACTGGAGGCTTTAGCTTATATAACATTTAAAATGTGGAAAGATTTTTACCGGAAATGTTCCAAAGGAAGTGAAATCTATCGTAAAAGTAAGAGTCTCAGGATTTTGAGATTGACACTTTATTACTCGTAACGAGTACCTTCTGTAGAAACAATTGATTAATGGCATTTATTACACCTTATAGTATCGATTTAAAAAGATTAGATAAAAGACTATCATTTAGATCAGGGCTGTCCAAAGTACGACCCGCGGCCCACAAAATTTAACGAGACTTTAAGGTTCTTTCAATGAAACACAAAATTAAAAATACCATATAGCAAATGTATGAAGTTTAACTTAAATTAATTAAAGTTTAACTTGATTTACATATACCATAAACATCATGCTTCGGTTTTGAAGTTAAGAGAAGATTATTACACAAGAAACATACTTTTCTTACATAATAATATCGCCTTTTGATATTTGATATATTCAAATTTTAAATTATGTGATTTAATATATTTTAGTATTAATATGGAATATCCTAATATTTTAATAGAAAGTAAATTAAAGATACAATTACAGTTTTGAATACAGTTTTTTTTTACTCTTTTAAGAAATATAAAATTAACTTGTCTATTAGCTACAAAAAATTAACTATATATTTCTATATATGAACACTATTTATATTCCGCATTCCGATAATATTAAACAAATTTTGCTAATATTTTGGCTTTTAGCAGAAAATTAAATATAAATGAACACCAATTACTTTTCTCCATTGACTATGACACATCAAGTTTCTCCTGTTCGTTTACTACGCAACGAACAACGAAGTGATCCAACTAAACCAGGTTTGCATCGCATTCCAAACACATTGCAAATAACTGATCATTTCAGCATACGCGGTTACGCTCCCCACTTCACTTCAGCCATTTCCATTATTTTCAAGTGACTCCAGAAATATGTTTCCAGCAGACCAAAAGCAAGTCGCTTACTCAGTCAACTCGTATGCGAAATGTTTTCGCTGCGGCGTAACTTTAATCCACCACATTTAATAGTTTATTGATAACGTGAGGAGATCGGACAATTGCTTCTGGAAAATTTTAACCCAAAGCAGCTACCGAAAATTTCAATAAATTCTTTGCAAACAAAACGAATCCTCAGTAGCACTGAAACAAATTTGTTGCGCTTATTGCAGTGGAAAACAATTGAAACCAGTTTTCCTATAATGATCTCTCAAGCAGTACAATTGAAGGCATCACAATATGCCTCAGTCTAGAGAAATTTATGTGTAATTGGATTATTATATTCTATGTAAACGTATTTACTTATAAATTGCTTGGAACGTTAATAGGTGAAATATTGTTATTATTTTTTGATTTATGATATTTAAAAATTCTAGCTTTCAGGGTAATTTACTACAGTAAGTATATACTGGTATACACCACTATTATGCTACATGTGTGTACTAAATATAATTTTTTGATTAATCAAATTTATAAATGTGAACACATCATAACTTGGAAACAAAACATAACAAACATTCTAATATATAAATTAGTTAAAGTATTTTAATCTCACATACTCTTCCATTATTTTTTTTTTTATTTTCTACACTTATAGCTGCAGCAGAATTCATAAATAAGTTATAAAAAAAAATGGTTTATTATTTATATTTAGAGAGATTTCCTAGAGACCTAGAGACTTATTCTACTTTCTTTTTGAATTTAGAGAGTTTCTATAAGTCTGAAGACCTCTATAAAAAAGTAGTATTGAGTCTACTTCGCTGAATCTTATTTTTTCATTCAGTATATTACGTAAGTTCTCAGCTTTCTAGGATGATTTTCACTTTAATAGCTCCTTTAATTATTATTATTATAATTTAATTATTTTATTATTCTAAAACATGAAGGATCAAGTTAAAATGATTGCTAGAGAGATGTGGTCTCTGAAAAAAGTCTAAAAAATCTTGTTAAGTTAATCTTAATAAACTTATCATAAATTATATTATATTGTAAATAATGTCACATTAATTTGAATTTAAAATCATACAGGATTCGACGTCTATAAACATACTTGTAAGTTTTATGTCAAAATTCCATTATTACAAACCAAACCATCCTGTGCACTTCTCATTTGCTAGTTAACAGTTGTGGTTATAAATAATTAATATTAGGTCTGATCCACAAGCTACTTGTAGTAAAACTCAAGTAAAACACAAGTAAAATTTACACGAATATACACGAAAATTTGCTGTTGGAACGCACTTGCGTATACACAGTGTTACTCAAAGTTATTACGAGTAGCACGTGAAACAGACCTATTATATGACTATGGTGTTATCGTATATTGACGTTGAAAGTCTATGTTTGATTGTTATGGATTGGTATCAGTAAAAAAAGAGGTAAAAAAGAAATTTGTTATTTCTTTAATATTTAGGTAATATTACTCATACATAAAATAATATAACCCTCCGTTTTCCAGGGCGTTATAACTAACTTAGAACTTTGGATTGTAATTGAGCTTGATATAAAAGAAAAAATATGAAAGAATCATCAGGATAATACACTTAATTCATCAGTATAATAAAATTAAAATTGTTATGTTATATTAATGTATGTTATTTCAGATAATATCACCTATGACTAAAGCACTGGACAATTGAAAGATTATGTATAATCAAAAAACATTGTCTGCTGCAACCCAATGGTTGCCGTATTCTTGGCAGACATCTATAAAAGATTATGCACTCTTTGAAATATAAAAAACATAAACTCTTTATAGTATTCAATCCAAAGTACCGCTATATTTGGTTGAAACCATTCGATAATTCTAAAATTTAGAGTTAAAGATGTTATGACAACAATGGGACAGCAGAGAAACGAAAGATTAAACACTAACGAGACAAGAAACCATGAAATAGAAAAAGGACTGTTTTAGAACATAGAAAATCAAAGACGTACTGACTGAAGGCAAAACACTGCAACCACGATTGATCTTTTGTGTTAATTTTTTGAACAGGAAACACCCCGTCTTTCGAATAGGAACCAAAATGTTTGCTGTTAAGTACTTTTTAACTTCGGATCAAGATAGCAACTTCCAATCTAGGAAACTCCACTTGGTCTAGATAAAAACTGGACAAAGAATGTGCATCCATGCAGAGACAACATTCTATCTTTTCAGATATATCCATTTTATTTATATGATAACGAAGTACATTGTGATCCGTCAAATAACCTGTTAACAACCTCAGTTACGTTTTGATGAGAAAGATATCCTACTCTAGTTGAACGAATATACCAGCTTTTAAATTTATCGATTACCTGGAGTGTTGTACTAGCAGCGACGTATTTTGGTTAATAACCACTTTTCTATCAGAGACCTTGTTGTTGATCAAGTTATACCACAATTGGATTCCGGTTCATAGAGTTGAGGGGCTGATCCAGACTTTGTATTATTATCTGTGGACTCGTTGCCACTAATTTCTGTGTCACCAGACACTCTGTAAAGTTTAACTTTGTAGTTGTTTGCCAATTGCTGTAACATGTCATAGCTGTCTACCAGAATTTCTGAAGAAAACTTCCAATACAAAAACTTTCCAATAATTTAATATAATTTTTGCAGTTTGGATAAAACCTTCATCAGGAAAACAAGCGCATATTCGATATATTCGTGAAAAAATTTGAATATTATCGCATTGACGACAGTATTTCTGGTGAAAACTTCGATATCAAAAGAGTTCGATAGTTTGGTTGTGATGAAAACTGTTATAGACATTAAACATATTTTCTTATATTATCTTCAATTAGTCATAAAAAATCTTTAGTATCTGTTATTATTATTAATACGTACTTTTACATATATTTTAACATATCAATATTAAAGCAACGAACATAATTACCGCAAAATAAATTGTAACGAGTTATTACATATTCTCACTGTCATATTTATGCAATTTCGCTCATTATAAACATTATTGAGGATAATTTACCATATAAAGTTATTTTCAAATAAATGAGTTATTATCAATAAATCAGCTTATTTACAGTGCAAAAATTTAGAATGCAACCCTTAAAAATAAATTTCCCACACGGGAAATTACCAAAATTTTAAATATGTGTACTTTGTTTTATATATAATATGTAACCAAATAACAGCTGAGCTCTGTGGCATTGAAGAAATAAGTATTTAATAAAATCTTTGTTTTTATTAATTAAATATGTAATTGATATATAAAATGTAAATAACTGATTTAATACACCAATTATATATATAATTTTTGTGTGTGATATATTATTAAGTGAAGTTTATAAAAGTTCTACCAGCCGCATAAATGATCTCATTATGATGTAAACGTTCACTCATTAACATGAAAGTGCAAGTGCCTAAACGAGACAGTGTAATTGTACTACAAATGATTTTATTTTATATTCGCTATTCTTCTATGGTACAAATAAAAATCATTAATCCTAATATTTTGTTATGCATTATATTTTTTTTTATATATGAAACAATTTATTTAATATAAATAAATATTTTTGATATAATTTGCAATGGTATTCACAATATGAGTATATTGGTATTAAGTGAGCCCTGTGCACAGAATAAAAATAATAAAAGAAAATGTCACGTCAAAGTGAAATGTCAAAATCGATTTCGTTTTAGTGCATTGACGTCTTTGCACGGAAAATTTATTTATAATTTCAAAACGATTGCTCAATAAGTTTAAAACCTATAATTATATAAATATATAGAATACTTTTATGGGAAATATTAAATCGAAGACATATAGTGACATCACAATATTTAATAATTATTATTGAATAAAAATTCTGGAAGAAATTTGCCGTAAAACAAATCAAAGCTGGAGAAAATTGTGTTATCACAAAAACAACAAATGAAATCCTCAAAAATGACACATTTTGACGATTTTGCATATTTGATAAACCATGTACTACTCGGAGAGGAGCCGGTAGTTAATAAAAATATTCTATAAAAATAAGTTATTATGATTCTGTACATTCTAGACTATCGAGGATTTCATATTGCTCGTTGGAACTTTGGTGGCATTCATTGCGTTTATACTTTGGTGCTGCTTTCCCATTCAAGCAAAGGTATGATCTATTAAAAAAGACAATCAATAATATTATGATATAAGCTAATATATTATGTATTGGGATTTGTTTTAATATTCATATATCTAGTAGACACGCCTTTGTTATTACTTGTCTGGTTTACCGATGTCCTAGCTGAAATATACATAATACACCTTTCCTGAGATTGGTGACACGTCAACAAGACTGATAGACGCTTCTTAATCGCTGTAGAAAAGTGGTTACTGGTTGTAAAGTCAGTTAGTAGGGCAATTTAAAAATCATCGTTCAAAGCTGTGTTCATTTTAAGTTTGATCCATAGTGTTTTGTTTCTGAAACCAGCAAATTTGCTTAAGTATGGTTATATGAGTAACGTTATGACGAACATAATATTGAAGAAACAACATCTAAAAATTATAAAAATACAAACATACAAATTTTGTACTCTTTATATATTACCCATCAGAGTGATACTCTGATGTCAGAGTGTCGATTACCTTTAGATTGTTGAAATTCAGTGTATACCCACGTTTTAAACAGATACTGTGTATATTTTTGTCTGTTTCGGTGTATCTAATCATTTACTGTATGTTTCAGAAAGCTGTCGAATCTATCAGATTGTAACTCTACAACACAACTAAAACCTTGTGGTAGAGATCCACATTCTTCATACAACGTTAGTTTGGGACTTTTTTGCATTAATTTTGGACTTACGATATTCGCATTAGATCTTATAATAGTATAAAATAATTTTTTTTAAATAACAAAAATAAATCGGTGTAATTTGTATCAATATTTTGACAAAGTCAATGTTATGATTGTTATTTTTACTGACTATGTTATGTTGCGAACTATGGGGTCTGTTGTATTTTCACTAAAGAGAGAGAGCTCTTAAGTTAATTCGGACAAATTTAGACCATTGAAACATTTAATAATATCTTTTGGTTTCCTCTAATCCGTGAAAGCTATACAGAAGTTGAGGCAATCACTAGGCTTGAGGAGATATGATAGCCAGATGTTTTACTATTTTTTTTCGCTGAATTAAAAGTTGTCAACGTTTTTTAATCACATATTTGAAAGATGACCATAAACATGCCTGTTGATATATTATGCGAAAGTGGTAAACGGCACTTGATTGTCTGTATCGAGAAGTGACGATAAGATGTGCATCACCCACTTCTCTGTTACTTTGTTTGTAACTCAGATATGTGTTACTTACAGTTTCAATCCAACTTTGATTTGACTAAATTATTAAAAATTTAAGACATTTTATAGCTGTAGAGCTATACGACTATGTGACGTTTGCGTACTGTCCTGTTTTGGCATTCTATAGCACAGAAATTTTAACAACAGGAAGTTTTGTTTGAAGTTCGTTAAACGATTTGCCAGCTTCAGTATTAATTGTTCTTCGCGATGTTGTCGTAGGCCTGCCTCTACACTGGGATCCCTGGGGACTCAATGTTAGCGCTGCGTACGGGATATCGTCATAAGGCTTACGCAGGGTTTGGCCTATTCACCCGTATTTTCGCTTTTAGATTTAAACATTAATTAATTATTAAGTTCTTAATTTGATAAGTCACTGATCCGTATAACTATAAGCATATATATAGATAAAATGTTTAGCATATGAAATGAATTAAAAAATTTTATACAGAATTTATACCTCTATTTCTAATTTAAAATAAATTTATTTAAATAATTTTCTATCTTAAAGGAAACTGGGAACCATCGTCAATTTTCATGTAAGAGTATGCAAAACTCTTTAGATCCATCGCAGGTGCACAGCAGCTATAGCAAAAGTACACCCACATCAGCGCATAATGATTACAATATGAAAAACGGTGGCCACGCCTATCATTGCTGCACTTGAATTAAATATTGCAATTTGCAACTAAAGTATCTGCACTGTTTTAGTGAGTAATAATATACTGGAAGCAAATTTAGTCAACTGAAAACTAAGCTGAATATAAATGTAATTATGTATATTTAGGAAAGCTAAGAATTTCGCTCCTGTTTATTTTTCTATAAAATTAAGGCTGCATCAGATAATAGTTTTATTGTATAAAATATGAAATATGAATTGTAAATATTATAGAATTTTATTTAAAAATTATTACTAAATATGTATGTATATATTGTAAATTGCTCAAGATTGCTATTTTATTATTTAAAGCTAATAGTATAATTTAATTTAATTTTTATTGCAAAATGTAAGCCTCAATAAGTGTCTGAGCAAGGCTCATTTAAAAATTATTCGTTTAAATATACTTTAAATACTCAAGTATCAAAGGCTTATTTAAAAAATAAACTTTTGATTATATTTTAAGCGTTCAAGTGAATTATTTAAATTATATATTTATTTTAGTATACAAAATTTTTAGAACTGTTTAATCTAAATTTAATTTCTAAATTGTACTTCTGTATTTTAATAAAAATTAAAGAAGTCGAATTGATCTCATTTTAGTAAAATTTGGAAATTTTAACATATTTTTTTTAATGAATTTAATTTTTCTTCTATTTATTTTTGCTAAACAAAGCTAGTCTACATTAATGCTTATAAAATAACTTCAATATATATAATTAATAATCACAATACAATAATATATTTATGAATAAATAAATTATAAATTTAATATTTATTTATTTAAAAAGAATGTGAAGGTAATAAAGTTAGCTTTTTTAGGAATAGAATATATAAAATTTTGAAAAGCAATATTGCTAAAAAGAAACGCTTTAATTAATAGATTTTTTTCTTTGTTATTGTATAAGATAAGTAAATATTTTTAAAAATACTTTTTTCCTCAAATAAAATAAAACATTAAAATAAATAATATTTAAAAATTGTTTTTATTATTTACAGAAGTTGTTATATTTACAAAATATTTACTGGTACATCTAGTACTTTTATTTATAAAAATACTGTTTAATAAATACTTAATAATAATATTTTAATATTTAATATTTTTAATATTTAATATAAAAACTTAACTAGAATATCAATAATTTAATATTTCCTACTACTTTTCGGCTTTTTGGTGGTTTGTTTCGTTCGTTGTGTTTTGTTAGCAGTCTTTAGCTTATCATATAGTATATACAAATAATTGTAATAGTTAATTAATTTTAATGTTAATTTAACACTGTTTTGGAAAAAATACATTCATTTCAATTAAAATTTCCAATGTTATTAATATCGCATAGGCAGAGAATAATGCTAAACCAGCGCGTTTCGTCAACCGATAGCCACTAAAACTGAGAATAATAAAAAGTGCCATTGTGGATACAATAAGTATTAGCATTGTATATTCGAAACCCTGTGTAGCTATTTCAATACTAGTTGTACCAGTTTCTTTGATTACATTGTATAAATTCTTGACAAACCATGGCACACCCAGAGATAAAAGTATAGCCAAGGAATTTGCACCTAGAGAATTTGAGACACCAATACCATTTTCTCCTAAAAATTTAAGAAAAAAATATTAATATATATAGTATTAATTGGGTGTGAGCAAGTGCTTACCATTACGTAATGCGATTAAACTTGATATAGCTTCTGGCATATTGGAGCCAGCAGCTAAGAATGTTAAGCCCATTATGATTTCCGATACATTGATAGCAACACCTGAAATTGATGTGAAGAAATTATTAAACAAAATTCTATATGTAAAAGATTGGCTTAAGATATATTTTGGTTTAATTTTTTTTTTAATATTAATAATAAAAATAGTATATTTTTATTTAATATATTTTTATTTTAAATTTTTATTACTATTATTATTTTTATTACTATTATGTTTTTCAATTAATTTTTTTGTTTTTATTATATAAAAATACTATAATAATCTATATATTGTATATAATAGATTAGCATGAAAATTATTTGAAACACATTTTAGTTTTTAGTTATAACTATTAAAATAAAATTAATATTAAAATTATTAATAAAAAATAATATTAATATAATTATTACTGTTTATAGTTTTATTGTTATATTAACAATATAATAAGAATATTAAAAATATTAATATAAAAATTATTATAAGTTAATAAATAATTTTTATAATAATATAATTTAATTGATTTTTTATTTTACTTTTTATTTATTTATTTTATTTTTATTCAGTATAATTATTTCTCTATATACGATTGTCATGAAAAATATTATGAAATTAAAATTAAAATGAATATTGCTATTTTAAGTTTTTTGTTTTTATTAATAAAATATTTCTGTAAATTGAAATTTTTACTGTAATTTATCATTGGTTTTGTTACTAATTTTATACCAATATAATTCATATATTGTATAAGAATCAATTATAATTGATTTTGTGATTTAAAATTTGATTATGTTATAACATATTCTTAATTTATTCTTAATATATTTTATTTAATGTTTTATTTAATTCTTAATTATTAATGTGGATTTTAATAATTGTTATAAGTAATATCAATGTTATTTTTTTTAATAGTTTATATATTTTTTATATAGTTATTGAATTTATTTATGTTCATTATATATTTATATTTATTATTTATTTATGTTTATTATTTATTTATGTTCATTTTTTATTTATATTTGTTATTTATTTATGTTTAATATTTATTTATATTTATTATTTATTTGTGTTCATAATTTATTTATGTTTTACATTTATTTACTTATTAATAATATTTTTGTAATTCTATTTTTTAAAAAAAACATTATTTATAATCTAAATTTTTTGTTTAATTTATTTTATTCATCTCATTTGATTGAATTGCTTTTTTTTGTTAATTATATATATATATATAATTTTTGTTGTTTTGTTAATATTTTCTACTATTATTTACCTAAAGCAGTTAACATCCAAACAATCATATAAGCATTAGCACCGATGCATAGGATACACATTATAAACGACAATGGATACCATCGGCGATTAGTAATTGGGTTTGGTATGATGCACTTAAGGAGAATTCTAATTGGAAATGTGAACGCCCACCAACATTTCATTATTTTGGATTCACCGCGAGGTAAAGAAAATAGTTTAGGTGGCAGTTCTACGGCTTTTGTATCATTGTTCCCTACAAAAAAAAATATATATTATATAATTTTTTGACATATTATTTTATATATTATATCATATTCTTTTCTATTTAGAAAGAAACTTACAGCTTTTGTTTTCTGTTAAATTGACTGTGGAAACAGTTGTGGAGTGGCTGTCTGGTACGTTTACAACAAATAAACCATCACCATTAAGTGGATCCTTCTTAACTGGCAGTTTAGCTTTAGCACAATTTTCTGGTGGTTCCGTAAAGTCTGCACAATAGAAACATATAGATACATTAATATACAAGAAAACATTTCCATATATAACTTTATTATCCTTACCGTAACGTGTTGACATGCAGCAGTTCAGTTTATCCTCAACAAAGACACGAATGGCTGGCATGAAACGATTATTATTAAAAGTAAGTACATAGTAGAAAACTAGAAAGCCCATAAGTATACAAGAACCGACGAAGGAAACATTACCACCCCAGGCAATGAACAGTAGCACCAGTGTATTAAATATGTAAATACTGCTATCACGTGCTATTGGCCACCAATCCAATTGTACTGGCTAATAAATTTAAACAAATTATAAATAAATTTTTTTTTTGATAATTCCGTAATTAAATTTATATATACCTTTTTAATAGCTAAAGCTGCTACGCCTGCAACACCAAGTGTATTGAACATAAGTGAACCAATAATAGTACCCAAGCCCATATCAGAATTAGTGATCAAAGTACTAATCGTATTGGTGAAGAACTCTGGCATTGAAGTGGCTGTAGCCATAAAAGTAGCTGCCGCAACATCTTTGGATAAATGCAAATCATCACAGATACACTCTACAGTCGGTAAGAAGTAATCGTTACATATAATTGCCAGCAGTACGAAAAAATAAATGGCGGCAAATACATGTAAACAAACCCAGCCTTGTCGTAATTGCTCAACTGTTAAAAATTAAAAAATAAAAAAAATCGGTGTTATTTGAAAATACTTGAAAAGAAAATTTTTTAATTAAAAATCAAAGCCTAGGCGGAAGTACTTTAAATTATTTACAAGAGAATCTACTTCACAACAAATATTTATACTTACTGCCAAACGATTACAAGTTAGGCACATGTCTGATAATTCATATATGTTTTCTACGACTACTACTGTTGAGTTAAGTGCGTTCAATTAGTACACAAATTGATATTATTATATCAGTGACAGATCAGAGAGATTACGCTTAAGTATCAGGTTTTTTAAATTTTTATTTGTTTGTAAAATTTTCTAATTTAGTTGCTGACATAATATTCACACAAAAAAATAAAGATAGTACATAAATTATTTATGAAATTCTATCGATCGATTAGAATTTATAAGTCTAATAACTTGGAGTGCGAAAAAGTGCATTTTTTTTAAGATAAGAAAAATTTAAAAGTGAATTTTAGTAATATTTACTGTGACTTCTACTTAAATAATTTATATTTAGTCTGAAAACGCAACAAATCAATAATCTTCTTGATAAGATATAAATTAAATCTATTAACTGATTGTGTAGTGTAAATTTATATGCACTTTCAGCGTAACTTACTTATATACATTATATATATATATGTATATATATATATTATATGTATTACTTATATATAATACTTACTAGAAAAATACTCTGGAAACTCTTCTAGCGGTGATTCTTCTTTATTATCATTGCATACATCTTGTATTCGTTCTATACGTATATATGCTCCATCTACCTCAAATTGTACGTTTGTATTATTTTGTGCTGAAAGTTATAGAAAATAGTTTTGTTATTAATTGATATATTTTAATATTATATAACATAAATTTAAAGTGACATAAAATTTTAATACACATTACAATCATAAAATAAATCTTTAAAATTTTTATGATCCTTTATAGGTTGGATAATAATGTATTCTGGTCATAGGTAGTTATTATGTTGCACTATCATTTCTTCTAAACTTTTATTTTACTTTATTTATTTATTTTATTTTATTTTTTATTTTATTGTGACTTATTTCCAAGGCAAAATAAAATAAACGTATAATATTTATATATAAATATATATATGATATATATTTTATGTAGTATATAATATAAATAAAAGTGTTATCAGATACATATATAGTAACATTCATAGGCTATGTTAAGTTGTAAAATAAATTTGTTCATTTCTGAAGGTTATTACAGTCTTAAAAATTAAACAAATTATTTATTATATTATTATGTACTGAATTATTTATTCATATATATTATATTACTAGATTATACAATGTTAAGTAAAAGTTTAAGACTACCCATTTTTGTTTAAATATATAGAATTAATAAGAATAATGAAAAACTTTATAAAAAATTATTTAATTCGATTTAAGCAATTTTTAATTTTTGATTATTATCGCATTTTGATTATGTGATCCAAATAATAGCATAAATAAATCATATACTCGTAAATATATTTTTATATATCAGCTGAAGTATCACATTTACTTGTTTTATAAAATAAGTAATAAAATATCAAGTCTACATTGATCATTTTAAATAGAATACTTATATCGTTAATAATTACTAAATTAGTTAATTTAATCTGTAATTATTACTTTAACACGCTATTATAATTATTTAAAAATTCTTCTTATTTAAACATTTTTCTATTAACACAATTTCTTCGAAAAACCACATTATTTTAATTAGTGCATTGCAGCCTCAAGGAAATTAATTAAATATAATAAATTTATTAAGTATTACTCAATTCACAAGAAATGCAAAAATATGTAAAGCTATAGAATCAAGAAAACCACATTGTATTTTACAAATCAATTTTATATAACTTTAAAACAAATTTTTTAAATTTCACAACAAATCATTTTTTTTATAAATTAATTAAAGCATATATTTAAAAAATACACTCAGTTATATATTGTTTTATATATATGTATATATTCCTTTTCCATATTGGGAGATTTTTTTACTATTTTATCCAAATTTTAATTTCAAATTAATATTATTTTGTATGTCTACAGTGACAATATAACTGTTAATTACATTTTTATGTCACACAATGTAAAATATTTAACAAATCACTACTGATATATAAAACAATTATAATGGATTATAATAAGCAAATTAATTCTATAAAATATTAATATAATGTAATAGTAAGAAGAAATATAGAATTAAATTAAAATAAAGGAAATTGTTTATTTTTAAATAAAACAAACTGTAATTTTGTTTAAAACTTTATATGTAATAATAAATATGTTTAAGAATTATATGTATAAGAAATATGTATAAGAATACATTGGATTCTTAAACAATACATTATTGAAATATAGAGACAAAAATAGCGACAATAAATAGAATAAAAAAATATACATTGTCATAAACAAAACTAATTTACAGTTATGTTATATCTTCTTCAACATATGATAAAAAAATTAAGCAATAATATTAAAAAAATAAAATAATAATTATGTTATAATGTGCATTTATATATGTATGAAGTTTATTATAAAAAATATTGATTTTAAACATTATATTATTATAATGACATGTTATTCTATATTTTATTTAATATATTTCAACATATATATTCCATATATATATATATTATATTCCATATAATACATACATTTAGCATAAATGATCAAAAATCATGTCAAAGCCCGACTAAAAATTGCTAACATTTTAGTAGAAAGTACTCAAAAACCAAATTTAACTTATTGAGTTAAATAAAACTGTTATATTATATTTAATAAAAGTATTAAGTAATCAAAAATATGTATGTTGTAAAGTATTGAGTATTAAAAAGGTTTAATACTTTTTGCTTTTGTCTATTTATTTCTTTAAAATTTCTATAATAGTTGATTGCAGTTTGCCTACACAATTTACATTTTATGTTAAAGTAGCAGATATTAACAGCAATAGTTTTAAAGTCACTGTATTCTGCTTTGACAACATTCATGGAAATTAAATAAATGTTAACATTTATCAAACATAACAGCTGTAAAAGTAAATAAAATGTAATTTGAAAAAATTTGTAGATTTTTATAATATTTAATTTATATAAACAATATAGTTTATATATATGTATTTTGAAAAATAATCAACAAATGGTGACGAACAACATTTTTCGAAAAAAACTAAAAGTAATAAAAAAGAAAATTGTTTGGTTATCATAAGTAGGTGAATGTTTAATCACAATCAGAATATTGCAAATATGTATAAAATAAAATACTTATAATCGGATTATGATGCTACTAAGAAGTTAATATTTAAATTTTGTATGGACTAAAATAAGATCAGAACAATGGGAGCGGATATGGTGAAAGTGAAACTTGAGGATATTGATTCTCAGTATAACGAACTAAGATTTGGACACAGATTTTTGTGTAGAATATATATTTGTAAAGAAATATATTTTATTTTTAGCAGTTTCTTATAGATTTTAAATTTGTGGTATTGTGACTTGGCTATGCCAAACAGTATTACTAGTTAGGTGGACTATATTAAAATCATCTAGAAAATGGTTAATTGTTTTTAATTTCTATTATTGTGTTTTGAATAAACGACAAATATATATAGAATATATTTGAATATACAAAATTATGTAGTATTTTTAAAATAATGCAACATTTTGCCCATATGAAAAAAACAATAAACTTCGAAAAGTTGTAAGGTTTTTAAAACAGTATAAATAAATAATATAGTTAAAATAAAAAAAAACTATTTTAATTTCCAAAACTTAACAAATGCCTTTAAGTAACAAATAACACATTAATAACAAAATATGAACTAATTGCAATCAAACATTTAAGTACTATATTTATTTTTTATTATATTCAATTAGTATTTTAATGATACCATGTACATAATTTATTTAAGTTCTATTATTATTATTGCACTTTAAATTTGTAATATAACTTTCTGAAGATTCATTGAAAAAATTGTATTTATTAAATACTGATTTGATATTACGTATGATCCTTATATACTAAAATTCTTTCAATTACTTATAGCCATTTCCTATAAGGCAGATAAGATAAATAATATAAAAAAAAATTTTTTTCTAAAGTTTTTAAATGAATTACATTACATTGTTAATCGATTGAGTTAAATATTTGCTATAAATATTTATTTACTTATCACATTAAAAAGGTAATTACTATTAATAAATGTTCTCACTTCAAACTAAAAAAAAATAAAAAAATATAGTTTTATTATATTAAAAATAATATTTTTTAAAAATAATTCGATTAAATGCAAACAATTTTTGATTTTTTATTTTTTTTTATTTTTTTATTTTTATTTAATTATAGTAAACATAAAATATCCTATGATCCATCAATTTCATAGAAACAATGATTAATTTTAATTAATAAATATTTATAATCAATATATCGAATATCTTCAGAGCAGTAAATATATTTAATATTTAATTAATTTAGTTAAACAATTTCTTTTTGTAATCCAAAATATTTTTTTATATGTATAATTTATTGAAATAAAGTATATTTTTTCATATAATTATTGTAAATATTTTTGTTAATAATCAGCAATTTGTTTCTAAGTTATTTGTGTATTTTACAATTTTTACAAAAACTAACTGCACTTGATTTCTAAATGTTTTCACTCATATTTTTGTTTTTATTATAAATATCTGAAAACTGTTTACTAATTTCTGTTATTGTAAACAAACTATTTCACAGAACTAACTCAACAAAAAATTATTGAATAATAATTAATTAACAAACAAAATTATTTTCACATGATATAAATCAATTTAACTACTTTTATTTATTTATATATTAACAAAAACAACTTGTACTTAATATAATCAACACTTTTTTATATATAAAACAATGTAATTTATTTAATTATTTATTTTTAATTTGATTTATATTTATAATTTGATTTTTTACATTTTTTATTTACTTATACTTAATATTATCAACACTTTTTAATAATAAAGAAATGCAATTTATATCATTTTTTATTTTATTTGATTAGATTTTCTTATAATTTAATTCATTACATTATTTATTTACTTATACATACTTAACATTATCAACACTTTATAAAACAATTTAATTTATATAATTATTTATTTTATTTGATTGATTTATAATTTAATTCATTTAATAAATAATTAAGTTAATTTAATAATTACTTATTTAATTTGATTTGATATGATGATTAATGTTTTCGCACTTTACTTAGAAATATTTATCCATAACATTTAAGTGTCATTTAAGTTGAATTACATAAATTTATAATTAATTATCGTATATCATTAAAATTATTATTTATACTCGTACCTTGACAAGATACTCCCGTAAGTGTGGCAGCGATTAAAAGCAACACCTTAATTTTTGTTTCTGATTTTAAACACATTGTGTTCAGGTTTAATTTTTTTCTTAATTAAAATTAATATAGTTTTAAGTTTAGCACAATTTTCAAAATTGTATTGAGCACAGAAATTATTTTAATTATAATTCAACAAAAAAGAAAAAAAACCAACACAAAAAAATAAATAAAACACTTAACAATTAAATTCAATCTTTAAGATACTTTATTAATTTAATAATAATACTGCTTTATATTTGTTTTATTATTTTATTTTATTTTATTTTATTTTATTTTATTTTATTTATTTCAATATCAACAGTTTGTGTTCTTAGTCTAGTAACTGATTGTTAAATGAGCCTTGTTTACAGTTTCAACTGATTTTATATAAAAATTTCTTTGCTTTACTGGAATTACAAT